CACAACTCGACGGACCACGGTACCATACTGCTATCATTGGAGAGAGTGACAGTTTCCGGTAAATAAAGAAACAAAGTATTTTAGCCTAGTAACATGCAGGGTGCGGGTTCAATTTTACTAGTAACCTTATCTAATTATTATGTACCATTTTAATTTAAAAAAAATAAAATAAGTGAAGCAGCAGAGAAGGAAAGTCAGTTGACATCAATGGCATTTTCCTACTTCAGAACTTTTCTTTTTCAGAAGAGGAAAAAAAAGCCAGAAAGCAAGTGTCATTGGAAGACACGAAGCTTTGTGATGGGAATTTGGAATTTGGAAAGCCAGAAAGCTCTACTTTCAGAGGAAGAGCAAAGCAAAGAATGTGATGATTTGTTGGACGAAGTTGCATTGAGGCTCCAAATTAAACTGATTCACAGTTATTTTACCCTTTTGGTCCACAACAACTTCACAGGAACCGTTTGGTCTGCGGTTTACATTCTGTTATACAATAACAGGTAGTTGCTGTAAAACAAAACTATATTTTAACTGAAAAACTGAGCCCTACGTACGGCATTGGTAAATGATTATGAGCACCGTCCCATAATCGTCATTTCAGCCTAATAAAAATTAAAACTTGCCGAGTAGTTCGTACGTACCTCATTGGTATCAAGACAATCTCTATGGATATGTATAATATATAGAATAATACATTTTGATCAGTACGCGATTTGACAGAATCGTAATAGATAGATGGGCACTTCACACAAATGTGATTGATATTATACACGTACACATACGCGTATGTGTGTGCGCGCGCGCTACTATTTTTATTTTGAGTTCACCATATTTTTGTGCATAGGACCCGTAATCAATAACTTATATTGATCATGCTCTAATCACATCTATGTATATACTATATATTCCTTCTGAGGTATTACAGCAAAACGAAAATAGAACTTCAACTACCATTTTAAATATTGAATAATCACACTCGCAGGGTGATGACGAGCCGCATTATGCAGATCTCTTCAAATGAGAATGTGTAGATGTGGTGCTAAACTTTACAATTAGGCACAGTGGAGAGGCTATTCAACCAGATAGAGTCAGCGACAACAGCCTCATCGTCGTCATTCCGAGCCAAGTCCATTGTGCATGCGTTGCGTTTACCACATTCAAGATCCCATGTCCAAAGCTAGCTTCCCTGAACAGCGATGTCTCTGGTTTTGGGTCCATGTATCTGTAAACCCACAACTCAACTCAGCATCTTAATGTTGTATAACAAAAAAGCCATTTACCCAATTAAATACAGTTTTAATTAAAATGTTCAAAAGATCGACTCACTTAGAGGCGAGGCCTTCTCGATTGCCGCCATCCCCTATCGTGATATGCACTGAACCGCAATTATCAGCTTTGTCCTTGTAGACTCGAGTCTGTACAGAGAGTTTATTAAGGAGCAAGTTAAATCAGGTGAAAAACAAACGGCACTTGAAGCCAAGGAATGAAGCGAGCGGCAAGATTGGGAAACATGGGACTTACAAAGCGCTCATACGCATGAACATGACCTGCCAAAAACGATATCAACACGAGCCTGATACAGCAAGTCTTCCATGGAGGCCTTCATGGCGTAGGACTCAGGCTCATTCTGGTGAGCAGTGTTGGTGTTTATACCAAGGGGCGTGAAGAAGCACCACAATCCAAGGCGTCTTGTTCCTGGCCACCTTCTGCAAGTCGCCGACAAGCCATTTATACTGTGCAGAATCAGAATCAAAGTCGGTGTAGGAGCCGAGCATGATGACGTGCACACCAGCAACGTCAAAAGAATAGTACAAGTTGGAGTCGGAGCCACTCTGCTCGAAGGGCATTCTCCACCTGGCATTGTAGGCTGTGAACGGCTCGCTGTGAACCACGGGAATCTTCTCGACCTCATGGTTGCCTTGAGTGACCATCCAAGGACGCTGGCTAGCCAATGGCTCAACGAGGCGACCGTACGAGTCCCACAAAGGCTGCATAGTATCCGCGTAAGATAGGTCCCCAGGCAACAGAAACATATCGTAGCTTGAATTAGCTATATGTTGCAGGGTGGATTGAGTCCAGTCCGTCTGGCCGAGATCACCTGCAAACACACACAATAAATACTAAATAATGGAGAATGAGGAGAGGAAGAGGGGACTGAGCAGAGGGCTGACCTGCAATGGCGAATTTGATAGGGAATTGAGAAGGAGGGGTTTTGAGGCAGTATTGTGGGGAGGAAGGGGAGTCACCCAGACGGTAGTAGTAAAGGGTGTTGGGTTTAAGAGGGCCGATAACGACGTCGTGAATTTGGCCGGACTGGTAAGTGAAGTAGGTGTAGGAAGAGGCAGAGCCAGTGGCGGAGGAACCGTCGGCCTGAGCAGAAGGACCGTAACGAACACTTGCAGGGGTTGGGCTCTGTGTGATCCATGAGATCCTCATGTTGTTTGGGCCCACGTGAGATATATGCACCTGCACAATGATCACCCCAGACATTATGTTACCCATTTTATCTTAAAACACACCCAATAACACACACAAAAACGTCACTCCACGTCCCCAGAGTCCTCATCACTGGAGCCCAACTTATTTTGGGCTTAACGAGTAAATAAATTTATCTTTTGCCTTATTTATGAAGTCAGAATTATGTATCAAGCAGCCTATCGGCCTCATCTGTAATTCTCAAGGATCATCAAACACGCATATATTTATATAATCTGATAAAAATTAGTAATAAATTTAAATTAAGTGTGAAATATAACACAAATTAATCTTGTGCATTACAAAAATAAATTGTAATATTCACAACCTGCGATTTATTTATTTAAAAAAAATAATGTATTCAAAGAACTGGATGAAATCCATGCAACTAGATGTGAGTCGTATGTATTGCGCAGAACATAAAAATAAAAATGAGCTATAATATTTATGATTTACAAATAATGTGATTTATGTTAATATTGGTATAGGTGTAAACAAATTATCCACAGATACAGAATATTAAACTGAGACTCCACTTAAAAATGTATGTCTGGTATAAATGTCTTATAATTGTGTGAATTGACGAATTTTGCAACTGTAGTATTTGTAAAATCAGTATTACATAAATTTATGTGAAATCATATTATTGATAAGTCCCATGGTTCGAAGAGTGCAAGAACATTCGGCGTGCAGAAGCAGGAATCAATAGACGCTGTTTGGAACAACAAACTTGAGTTTCCGGATTTGATACAGTCGGAGGTCAGACCGTCGTCAGATGAAACTAAATTGAGTAGGTTTCTTAGAACCAGTGGATTCAGTCGCGTAAAGCCACCCTTATCATTTTCTCACTAATGTCCTAAATTAGATGACAATGGGTAACCCAACTTACTGGGTCCTCCGCCCAACCAAACCCACCCACCCAAATCTAATTCTCTGGCAAAACAACAAGCGCGGATACCTCATGAAACAGTACAGGTTCGGTTCATCGGAAAAAAGCCAAAATTTTAAAATGAAGGGAAAAAAAACCTCCGTTTTCAAACTTTCATTTCTAGGGAATAGCCGTGAGTTATTGCGAGTAAATGCAGCGATCAGAAAACGGCGAAGTTTGGAGAGCATGATGAGTGCGTACCTGTTGAGGCGACGTGTCAGAATCGTCATTCATGGAAGGTTGGACGGAGATTGTCCGGCGAGGAAGAGGGCGACGGTAGGCCAAAACGACGCCGAATAATCCCACCATTATCACCACCGCACTCGCCCATCGGGCCTCCATCGTGTTCGTCGGTTCTTGTGTTCTTCGGCGGCCAACGCAGCGTCCGAGCGTCAAGGCAAATTCTACCTTCCATGATCGACAACCCGCCTCCCAGGCTCTATATAATGGCCCGCATAGCTGTCAATCTTCTTTTTTATTGTTAATTAATAAATTCCTTTTTTTTTCAAATGGCTCCTCTCGGTAATTTATTGGTCCTCTTATTTGTCTTCTTATTCTCACATACAGATAACCGTTCTCGTGAACCATTTGGAGGGCTCTTGGCTGGCAGGGGTACAAGAAAAAGAATCATTGTATTGGAGAGCTTCTAAATTTCGACGTGTTTTTATTAGAAACCGATTTAACGTTTTGGAATCATGAATCCTCTTGGTATTTAGTATAAACCGATTTCGTCTAATTTGTTGTATTAATATGTACATAGAATTATAAATTAATATAAAATCCTGACATTAATTAGCAAGAGAACATGGAATCTTATATATACAAGATAGGCTGATATATAGGCACTTCCGATTGTATGATGTGATCTAACGGAATAAAATATTGGGTTAAGCTACATTCAATACCCCGAAGTATTTTATTATGTATATTTAGCATCTTAAAATATTTTGTGATACATTCATCATTTTAAAGTATTTTTTAAGTGTATCCAGCACCATGAAGTATTTTTTAGTGCATTCAGCTCCTCCAAGTGTTTTTTTAGGTTCGTCCAGCACCCAAAAATATTTTTTTATACATTCGGCATCAATATAAAAAAAATACTTCAGAATACTGGACATACCTAAAAGATATTTCAAAGTGTTGAATGTACTACAAGGTACTTTAAGGTGCTGGATACACATAAAAAAATACTAATTCAGCATACTGGATCCTCTAATAGAAGTAAAAGCGCTTTTCTTATCCTTCCCCGTAATTAAGAAGGAAAATAAAAAAAATAAATGTCACTTATTCGCTGATTTGATCGTATAATGACTCATCGGAATACTTCCCTATTCAGCTATCAGATTCAGATGAAAGGAAGATGGAGCAAACAGGAAAGGAAACAAATTAAAGGTGGATTTATAATTTAATTTGTAATTTGTAATTACATCATAAACAAACAATGGAAGCTCAAAACAGGATATGTACTTCCAAATTAGGGAATTTCTCAGAAGTCAAACTACACGAATAAACCAAAGAATCACTCCAACATATTCCTAGTGGATAAAAGCAAAAGCGCTGATAAATACGTCTTTTCAAAATATTATGATTAATTTATCAGCACCACAAACTAGAATTTATAGTAGTATTTCAATATTATTTCATTATATAATTATTTAAAATTTATAATGAATAATTTAAAAAATTAATTTGATGTATCTGATTGATAATTATAATCTTAGTAATAAATATTACAAAAATAGGCAAAACAATATTAATTGTACTTAATTTTAAGAAGTCATAATAATCGTGTCATAATTATAAACATTTACTCCAAAAAGTATAAGATTATACATTATTATATATTTTCCGTTATTTTAATTATTGAATAGTCTAAATAAAAGTAAATATTATATTTTACTGTGTTTTGACAACTAACTGATTTGTAGACGAGTACAGATAAAACTGCTGATAGATATCAACGAATTAATACATTATGAGCTGTGTGGGGTCTATGTGTTTTCATTGGTGAGCAGCCACTACATTCTTTATATCAAGTTGGAGCGCAGCAAGGATTACTAGAATTAAGTGTTAATGGTCGGACTTCGAAATTAAGGCATATAAACCTGTGCTGGAAGAGTTAATGTGGGACCTAAAGCTAGTTCAGATGGAAAGGATGGCATGGAGTTCAGCAGGTAAAGGTCAGTAGCTCACTTAAAGCTTCAATTTACATACATCACAGCACACCAGAACTTCGAAATATTTATCATCTGATGCTCATGAGACATCTAAGGCAGTTATTTTCTTATCATTTAATTGACACTAATTAATATCCTTCAAAATCGTCTACAAACAGCTGAACATTAAACCCATGGGTCACAGGCTAAGTATTCCTTCGATCATAAACATGGGACCCATTTTATAAATTACACTATAAGCATTATATATCGGAGAAAGTACTACATATTATAATTACGCTTATTATCAATGGACTTCGCAAGCAGGTTCAATGGAGAGGCTTGTGAGCCAGAATGAGTCAGAGGGGACAGCCTCGTCGTCGTCATTCCGATGCCAAGTCCACAACGCATGCGTTGCGTTCACCACCTCCAATATTCCATGCCCAAAGCTCGCCTCCCTAAATATTGATATCTCTGGTTTGGGATCCAAAAACCTGTCACCACCCAACAATACATTATTATTAATTATTATATATTCCTAGGTTTGTAGTATATCCTGGTTGCCTTATAGATTATTAACAGTATACTGACAAAATAACATTTTGCAAGGTCTGAAAAGTGCTTAGAAGCTTATTCATTAATTACTTGGTAGCGAGGCCTTCACGGTTTCCTCCATCTCCAATGGTTATATGAACTGGACCGCAACTATTGGCTTTGTCTTTGTACACTCGAGTCTGACAAAATCAGCAGATAGCTAGATCGTTAAATAATTGTAGCAGACAGGGAATAGGATTGGATAAGATGAGACGAGAGAACAACTCACAAAACGCTCATAGGCATGGACATGGCCTGCGAAAACAACATCAACGCGAGCTTCATAAAGCAAATCTTCCATGGCCGCCTTCATTTGATAGGATTCAGGCTCACCCCGATGAGCAGCGTTGGAGTTAAACCAAGGAGCGTGAAGAAGCACCACCAGCCAAGGTGTCTTCGCTCTGTCCACCTTTTTCAGGTCGCCCACAAGCCATTTGTACTGTGGAGAACCAGAATCGAAGTCGGTATAAGAGCCAAGCATGATGACGTGCACGCCGGCAGCGTCGAAGGAATAGTACAAGTTAGAGTCGGACCCACTCTGTTCGAACGGCATTCTCCACCTGGCATTATACGCTGTGAATGGTTTGCGGTGAACCACCGGGATCTTCTCGACCTCGTGATTTCCTTGAGTGACCATCCAAGGACGCTGGCTGGCTAATGGCTCGACCAAGCGACCAAACGAGTCCCATCGGCTCTGTATGTAATCTGCATAGGACAGGTCTCCTGGTAGCAGCAACATATCATAGTTTGAATTGGCTATGTGTTGCAGCGTCGTCTTTGTCCATTCGGTCTGTCCAAGATCACCTGCATTATTATTACGTTTGTAAATTTATAACAATGACTATTGAACCCCGAGTATGGTGGTTTATATATGAGGTTTTAGGGAGGTAATTACCTACAACTGCAAATTTGATGGGAAATCGAGAAGGAGGAGTGGTGAAGTTGTATTGTTGGGGAGAATCTCCCAGACGGTAGTAGTAGAGGGTGTTGGGTTTCAAGGGACCCATGACGACGTCGTGAATTTGACCGGACTTGTAGAGGAAGTAACGGTAGGAAGAGGTCGTGCCGGTGGCCAAGGGTCCGTCGGCGTCAGGGGAAGCGGCGTATTGTACTTTAGCAGGGGTAGGGGTTTCTGTAATCCATGATATCCTCATCTGGTCTTGCCCCACCACAGATATGTGCACCTGCAATCTCATATCCAAACCTCAGCACCTCGTATTACAGGAAACAAGCTGAAGTAATTTTCAGATTAATCTAAACAATTTAAATGTTTCATATTAAAATATATTTTAGTTTTTTTTTGTTTT